TTTTACAGATATATAGCTGGAGAATCGTTTGCCCAATTCTGTTGGCTGTATCCGTGCTCTCTGATGGTTTCTTTTATTTTGCAGAAAGTATATTAATTTGATGAGGTCCCACTTATCTAACTTAATCATCAAGGCATGGGTATTTAAAGCTCTGAAGAGGAATTAGTTTCTGATTCCAGTTTCCCTAGTAGTGTCTCTTGCGTTTTGTAAAATTATTATAATTTGGTGTTTTGCGTTTAGGTCTCTGATCCATTTAGAGTTAATGTGTATGGTGATAGGTATGGGTCCTGTTTCAGTCTTGTGCATGTTGTCAGCCTTTTCCCAGCACCATTTACTGAATATGTTCTTCATTAACCAGTGGGTATTAGAGGTTTTTTCAAAGATGAGTTGGTTGTGAATTAGAGGGGTTCCTGATAGGTCCTCCTACTCAGGAAAAAAAAAAAAAAAAAAATTAAGGGCTTAGGATTTGTTGCTTCATAATGTTAACACTCCAGAAAGTGAGTGTTGGGTGAATAGAAGCACAAATCTTATAATAACATTATTGGCTGTCATTTCAGTCATGTTTTATACCAAACTACTTTTATCACAAAGTTTTTTTTGGGGGGTGGTAGTGTTCAGAGTCTTACTCTGTCACCAAGGCTGGAGTGCAGTAGCACAATCGCAGCCTTGACCTCCTGGGCTCAGGCATTTCTTCTGCCTCAGTCTTCCAAGTAGCTGGAACTACAGGCACGTACCACTACACCCAGCTAATTTTTTGATTTATTGTAGAGATGAAGTCTTGCCAAGTTGCCCAGGCTGATCTCAAACTCCTGGGCTCAGGCATTCCACTTGCCTTGGCCTCCCAAAGTGCTGGGATTACAGACATGGGCTACTGTGCCTGGCACAAAATTCTTTACAACACTGTTGAATTCTTTCTCTGAAAGAGCAAAAATTTGGGGTGGGCTAGGATAGCAAGCGTCGATCTGGTGAGACTCCCCGGTGTATGGCATTTGAGGTGAGTCTTAAGGGCTGATGAAAAGAATTTTTGTTTGTTTGATTGATTAGAGGAAAGGCAGTGAAAAAGGAAATGAAGATGGCAAGGGTGGGCCAGATAGAGAAAGGAGGAATTTAAATATAACATAATTAAATTAAATTATACTGTAAAGGTAACTTATAATAGCTAACGGACCCAACTGGCAAAAAAGGAATTTTTAGTCAAACCCGGATTGGGCCCATCAATTTTTGCTGCATGTTTCCATTTATTTAAGTCAGCAGTCTTCATAATGTTGAGCTCTAGAGCTTTTCTGTGGATAAATTTTGTGTAACTCCATTTTGTGAGTTTGTAATTGCTAACTCACAAATTGTTAAAATGTATTTATTCAGTAAGAACATCTTTTAAAACATACCATTCTCCAGCCATCTGTCCAGTCAAAATAAGGTTCTCAGGGGACAGAAACTGTTTAAATTGGAGCAAAATATAAATGGACAACTCTTTTTTTTTTCCTTAGATTTGATCTACTGTGGCCGGAAGCTCAAAGATGACCAGACCCTTGACTTCTATGGCATTCAGCCTGGGTCCACAGTCCATGTTCTGCGCAAGTCCTGGCCTGAGCCTGATCAGAAACCGGGTGAGTGAGGGTTGGCTCTTAGGCAGGCACAGCTTCTATGGTATATACAAGGACAGAATCTTGAGGCACAGGCCTGGGTGATACAAAGGGGGCATTTATGAAGCTGACAATAGAAGGTATCTTTATTAACTGTTGGGTTAGACCATGGTAATAAACAGAGTCCAGTTTTGACCATTTTCCTGCCAACATCACTAAGGGGTGAAGATTTGCTTCTTTACTTTATAAGTTCATTACTTGCTAATTTTTAATGGGATGGGGAGTGTGCATCTCCTTAAATTCCTTTAGGTTAACAGTTTATTATTCAGTGAACTCTGTATTCTTTTATTGTTCTCAGTAGAAAAAAGCTGGAAACTTCTTGCACTTCTCTAATGCTGCAGTTTTTGTTCTCTTGTTAGCAAGTCTTCCCACAAACTGCCTCAGGTGGTGATTTTTTTTTTTAGTCAGCTAACTATTCCTGTGGTACTGGTAATTTATTTTCTGAAAATATTCAAACAATTAAAGTAGCTCTTGGAGAAAATATTCAAAACCTTGAATGCCTTTTTGATTTATTAACAGAAGATGCTGCTTGGAATTCATAATGTAAATTTTGCATTTGTGTTTTAAAAGCCTCCCCAAGGAAGAAGCCAAGCTGTAGAAAAGAGATTAGCTTTAGCCGGGCTCGGTGGCTCAGCCTGTAATCCCCCGCCTTTGGGAGGCTGAGGTGAGTGGATTGCTTGAGCCCGTGGGTTTGAGACCCGCCTGGGCAACTTGGCAAGACCTCATCTCTACAATAAATCAAAAACTAGCTGGGCATGGTAGCGTGCGCCTGTGGTTCCAGCTACTTGGAAGGCTGAGGCGGAAGGATCGCCGGAGCCCAGCAGGTCGAGGCTGCGGTGGCCGGGAGCGGCCACTGCACTCCAGTCTGGGTGACAGAGTGAGACTCCAACTAAAAAAAAAAAAGAGATTAGCTTTGTTAAACTGGCAGTTTGACATATTTTTGTAATGTTTGTGATTCTTGTGACTGGTTATCAGCTTGAAATTTGCCCTCTTTTCACTTCGAACCATAAAGGACAAAAATATCTTCTTTTGCACCCTGATGGGAAGTGAGAAAGAGAAAGGGAGCCCCTGATATCTAGGGGTTGGCCTGCCACTCACAGCCAGGCCGTGGAGTCGTTTTGTGGAACACACACAATTGTACAGATCCCCAGCATCACATGGGGCCACTCTGAGACCATCACAGATCAAGACAAAAACATGATCCCTATCATTTCTGAATGGAGACAAAAATCTGAGCATTGTTGAAACCACAAAAGTGACCGACTATTCCTGTGTCCTGGCTGATGAGAGTGACTGCTGTTGACTGTGTTTTACCAGTAACAGCTTTTATCTTGCTCTAGTTTACCTTCCTTCTACATAAGTGTTATTAGGATACCCAATTAAAGCCGGGCGCGGTGGCTCAGCTTATAATCTCATGCTTTGGGAGGTTGAGGTGAGTGGATTGCCTGAGCCTGTGGGTTCAAGACCCACCTGGGCAACTTGGTAAGACCTCATCTCTACAATAAATCAAAAAATTAACCGGGCGTGGAA